CCCCCCCCCTGGATCAAATCCCCCCTGCGCCGGTTCACGCCGTCGTGGACTTCTACCAGGGTTACTTGTGATTGCCTGCTACCTTTCGTTCACCCCCTCCTCTCTCAAGTTGTTTGCCCCAAAGGGAGAAAGAGCATTGTAGACATGCTTTGGGGTTTAAAGATGTTTTAAGTGTGAACCAATAGTTTTGTTTGGGTGCAGGAGGGGGGCCGGTTTTGGAAACATTTGGAACTCCACCGGCACGTGGAGCACGTTTAGCCAGGCGAGATTCTAGGGCAGTGGCAGCCCCAGATTGGGAGACGGCCAAGAGGGGTGCTCCTTGCTGTACTAAACACGTCCTGATTTGCTCATTGGCAGTAAGGCAATAGAAAAGTGAAGGGACTTTTTGATCATATTTGCTTGGGGATCCCTTTCCATGATGACAGTGTTTCGATATGTTTAGATTCTCTACTTACAGAAGGTCATCCCAAGATGGTCAGGGAAATCCACCAGACAGTGGGCACTACTCAGGGCTGGCTATCCGGGCAATCAGCCTATGTGCTGGGGTGGCATTCGTGAAGCTCCCACGACTTCTTTTGGCTAGCAAGCCAGAATGTGTTTTTGGGAAATGAATAGCACGGAGGTACGGATAAAGGGAACTGCTTTTGGGTCCTTTTGGAGGTCACTTTTTTGGAGAGGGGTTGGACCAGTTGACAAGTTCGCTTGTGTTAAGCTTGCTTGCAGTTTGCAGTGTTTGCTTGTTTTCACAGTCAGTGAAAGCCGTGTAAGTGGATGGTTGCTCTCAGGTCGCCTGTGCGGATCTCCATTGAGCCTTTGCGGAGATAAAGGGCCGAGGATGTGGGGACAATGACCTAGTAGGAGAACGCAGTCAGCGAGGGTACAGAAGGAGTTTCAGATGGTTTCAGGGTAATTATACGGCAGAGGTGGCACCAAGCAGAGCTTCCAAACATTGATAGATACGATAAGTGATGTGTTTCTTGTTGCCTTTGTTCAATTGGGGTAGCCTTTGTTGTATGTGGCATGGCTCTAAATCTGGTCTAGAGGTGTTTGGAATGTAAGTAAGTCCTGGAGATGACCGGAGCTGTAGGCAGCCCACCTGGCGGTCCTTCACAGGAGCCCATAGATGACCTCATTATATAATTATATATTATGTTATAGTATCTATAAATTGAGCTTTCTTTGGTTTTCGGTTTCATGAATCAATTAGCTCATCCTGGACACATTGTTGCCATTTCGTTTGTTTGGTTGTCGAATCGTCCGTTGAAATGCGTCGGAACGGTGCGTCATTCAATGGTGAATGTTGTTCTTTTTGGGACACTCAAGTGGAGAGCATGTAGAAAACCTACTCGCTGCCTCATCCGGCAGAAAACTCCTCCAATGACACAGCGGGTTTCGGGCTGGATGTTTTCCCTTCCCGACCAAGGTGCAGGTCTTTCAGTTTTAAGGACCTTGTAATTGATGTTTTATCTTCCAACCCGACATTACATAATATGCGTGAGAATGCCCAACCCAGTGCCATTGATTGTTGATTTGACTTGTTTACAACCATCCTTTGCTTCAAAAGGTCTATTGAACACTGGCAAGACGAATGCTTAGCATGGATGCTTAGCATGAAAGCAGCCACGTGGGGTTCCTTGACATTGGCTGCGCTCAGGATCAAGCAGGGGAAGATGAGCTCAGCGCGAACTCCAGCGTGACACAGATCATTGAGATCGTACGACATTTGGTGCGGAAGGTCAGTGCAAAGGGAGGGAAGACTCTGGGAGCATGGCCCAACATGTGATCTTGGGAGGCCTCCAAAATGGATAGACGATGTCCAGTTGGCATCAGTTCCAGCTTGTTTTTTCTCCCAGAGACTCGATTTGCTTGGCTTGTTTGATAGTAGCAGTTTCCCAAAGGGGTAAGTCATGACTTTGCACCCTGAAGACCCGAGATGTTGAGGTTTCGGATGAGACGACGTGCGGACGTATTCTCTGGTCTTCAATGTTGCAGCTCAGGAGAGAGCAAGAAAGAAGCTCGCCTACTGAACATTCTGCAAGAACATGCATCGGCGAAGACCTTGATTTTTGTCAACACCAAGAAAGGCGCCGATGAAATGTTCATGATGTGGCCGCACAGCCTCGGAACCGTCTCTTGAGCCACCGACACAAGATGTGTAGCGGAAACCATTCAGCATCCCGACTCCTGACGCAGCCACCTATGGGATTGCATGTGACCAGCCAAACTGCCACCCATATCCGCACAAAGGCCGTCAAGTGGCCCTGACCCACCGGTGCTGATGCTTCCAGGTGCCGCCTCCTTGGCCGATCACTTGCGAAGAGCTGGGGTGGCCCCCTGGCGAGGAATTCGGATGTGAACGATTCTCGTGACCAGCTCCGGTACGGCTCCTCAAAAGTGTCCCAATGGCCTCCAACCTAGAAGCGACGGCCTAGCGATGGCCTCCAACCTACAACCTCAAGAGCGTCCCAAATGCCCTTGTTGACTTGAAGAGATGAATTCAATAATTCAATATAATTCAATAAACATTCTGCCCCAGCCGCTTCACCCTTTATATCCCGGATGGTGGGGACCGTCGGAGTTGGAGGTCCCCTGCGGGGAGATTCATGGAAATCTCCCCCAGCACGAACGCGCAGAGGCACTCAAAGACGCTTGGTTGCCAATGCTTCGTGAGCGTCCCCGAAACGTATCATAACCATACATGGTTAGTCATTAATTGCATCAAGATTTCCACTGTGCAATTTGTTGGGGGGGTGGCGCCGCACCAACGTTGTCAACAGAAAATGCATGCAATGTTGTAGAGATATCGATATTTTCAGAGCGGTGAGTGACAAAACCTTAATGTCTTATCTCACAAGTCCGCGAGCAGATTGACGAGAGGCGGATGGAGTACAAGGTTGCTTTCGAGGAAAGCAAGGGCTGGGTTGGATGTGCGAATTTGACAATGTCTCGAGTTTGGACCCTATGCCCTATGCCATATACATATCATACTGTTGTTGGACGATAATCCTGCATCAATACAGCAACACATGTGGTCCTCCAATTGTGCAGACAACTCAATGTTGTCTCATGTTGGTTATGTGTGATGCAGGATTTTGGTCATTCAATTTTGTTCCTTCACACATTTCCTCAACTCAATGACTCAATGTTAAAGAGGGAGTGCAAGGGTACACATGGGTTTGTTCTTCCAGTGGTGCAGGATGTTGTCCATCAGCCATATGTCTCACAAAGAGACAAGTTGTTCAGGCTTGCATTGCTCATAGTCCATTGCGAGCAGTGCTGCAGCATTGGTAACTTGCCCCCTACTGACCTACTCTATGGATCATTCACGCTTGACAAGCTAGGAGCTGCTGCTCCGTCCTGCACTTGAGTAGCATCCAATATATGTTGTTCACTTGTTTACTCGTAGCTGGTCTCACCTACCGGGCAGGCACGATAGGTAAAGTAACCGACCCCCCTGAGGAGTTCACGTCTGGAGCCACTCGAACTCTGGTGGCTACGGATTCTCGGCATGGATTTATTCAGCCGATAGAGAGTGGCGGAGCAGCTCCAAGGAGCTGGGCCATGAATGTTTGAACACGATACTGAACACACATACTGTATATAGATACGTATTATACATGTTGTTTGGGAGAAGACCGAATGTCTTTTTGACACATGTCACATGGCAATGATTCGCGCATCATTTGCATGGACTTGACGTACTTACAAGCTTGGAGCCATGCTATAACACACTGAGCATCTCGCATCAGCAAAGCATCACGGAACCTTGCAGCCGATGCACGGAAGAAGTTACCCAGCACCCAGAAGTCCTAGTAGACCTATGCAAACATATGTAAACCCTACAGTATCTAGGCTGGCTGGATGGTTGGATCATGTGAACTGCCTCACCTGTTCTTGCGTGCCCGAGACAGCAGTGATGAAGCTAACATACCACTGCAGTAGGGACTTATTTGGCACTGTGCCAGACCTCTGACATCCTCAGCTCAAGCTGCCCAGGATGTAGCTGCAAGGGGCTTGGATGTGGAAGACATCACGCTTGTGGTGTGCTTCTTGGCCTGATCAATTGCTCACTTTTGCATCTGAAACAACAACAAGAGCAGCAGCAGCGGCAGGACGAGCAGCAGCAGCAGCAGCAGCAGCAGCAGTAGTAGTAGCAGTAGTAGTAGTAGCAGCAGCAGTAGTAGTAGAAGCAGCAGCAGCAGGAGCAGTAGCAGTAGCAGCAAGGAGACAAAGCAATTGCCAAGGTGTTTGTTGTCATCAGTTTAGTGTCAGGTCTAGTGCTGTAGATGGATTTTGGAATGCTCCAGTTGAATGGAACCTGCTGAAGCTTGGACTTGGATGCCTTGTTTTTTCAGTGTTTGAGATTTGGGCGATTTGCAGGTGTAGGATGCCCGAAGCACACACATACAGCACATAGGGAGTGTGCCTCGGAGTGTTCCCGCGAGGTTATGATTTTCCAGACTCGATGGCGGGAGTCTTGGCCAAACATTGGGCACGCAAGAGCTTCCTATATATATAATATATACACATGGCAGCGAGAGCATAGCCTTCGGCCCTCCAGAGGCGGCTTGATGATCCAACATGACTTGAATGATTTCACTTGAGACATGTTGTGTTCAGTTTTTTGGCATTAGCTTGAGTTCTGTTTGGGTTGTGACTTGTAAACTTAACCGTTGGACCCGGCAGAATGTCAAGGGATCTATTAATCTATAAGCCCAATGAATGATTGCTTCCAGGATGGAAATCCTTAGATGCCTTAGATGCCATGCCTTCTCTTGTGGGGTGCTTACATGGTTCCAACTTAGTGCCAAGTCTAAATGAGTGCACACGGCCCTCCTGCAGGACCGCTTTGATCATTGCTCGCGGAGGATGTCAAACAAAGATCATGAACTGTGAAGGAATTTGTTAAGATGGCCCACCGTATGTGGTGCATCAAACCAGCAGTCAAACAATCAAGTAGATTAGGAGGGCATGTGTCTAAAGGTTGACCAAGCACTGTGATTACTTTACTTGTTTTCATATGGAGGATTCGACAGGTCAAAGACAAGCATGAGTTTTGCAATCCGGTGAGAAGGCATTTTGCATTCATTGAGGGGTGTGTATGACATACTGTCATTTTGGAGTTTCGTGTTTCAACCAGGCCATTTGAACCCCAAACAGGCGGAGTTTGGACACCTCTTCACACCTCAATTCGAGGAATTTCAGACCCTCTAAGAGGGCTCCGTCGGGATAGCCGGCTGAAGGTTCACCAGAGATCCTGATAGGAGAAAAGCATTGAACCCTGGGTGGAGAAGACCAGGAAGCATCTCCGCTCAAACAAACTCCTTTTTTGATGCCCCAACGGCTCCTAGTCAAAGAGAATTGTATTTAAATACACTAATATATATATATATAAAGTGAATAAATAAGCTTCGATTTGATGCAGGGGATCATTTTTTTGAGACTTGCCTTCCCATAGAGGTCTCAAGTTTCAAGTTACCATGGATTTTTCTGCATTAACTGTTCCAATCGAGTTGCTTTTCAGGGCTATTGCAGGTTGCTAGATTGAGGACACCCGAAATCATTGAACTCCCGCAAAAAAGTTACTATTTATGTGTGTTCAATATGTGTATAAGCATATATATATATATCATACATACAATTATGGTACCCCCGATTCTTGTGGGGAATGGAAGTGTGTCACAGAATATGTTCAACAAGTTCAAAAGCTTCAACAATGAACCTATAGTCTTGGAGCATGCCTGTGCAACAAATCAAAGAGCACTACACAATATGTTTGCATAATCATAAAGTATTTGCTTATAAGCACATCCAATTGCTTACAAGCAACCTGACGCAAATACCAACTCAAACCTCTACAAGCAAATGAACACTGACCAAAGCCTTAAAGGCGACCATAAACACCAACCCAAACCAAGGAAGGCTTACAAAACCTCGTAACAAGGCATCAACGAAGAGAAAGAGCACAGAACGGCCCTGGGCCCTGGAACAAAGCCATCCGAAGCTTGCAAAGACCTCGAGAGGGGACCCCAGAAAGTTTGAACATTTAGGACAGTTTTTTGGAAGGTTACGTCCCTTGTTGTTGGTACAAGCCCTCATTGGTTTGGATTGTTTTTGTTGATTTGGTTTTGGGTTTGGGACCAACAAAAGCAACCGTTTAAACTTTGAGATGGACCGGAAAAGCTTGGCATTTTGGTACCCTCTCGAAATGTTTCATGGCTTCATTAGTGTAGATGTGTCTCGTGGTAGCCGTTCGATTTTTTTTTTTTTGTAAGCTTTGACGGTGTTGACTAATTTGGATTGGCTTATGGTCTTAAAGGTTCTGGTGATACTGGTTATAAGCCTTATAAGCAGTTCGATGTGTTTTTCAGATGGAAAGTTTGTAGTTTGATGTTCATTGGTTTGATGTGGAGGGCTGGAGGAGCCATTTTATGTTAGTTGAGCCAATGAGTGGCAATCAACAAATGTTGCTTAAGCAAAGTGGTCTTTGAAGACAAAAGAGCACATCATAAAATCCCGTAAGAAAAAGGAGACAGCCTGTTACAAACAATGAGCATCACATATTGAAGGCAAGGTTTTCATTCATGAACAAGAAGATTTGCTGATGTGCTAATACTGTAGGAAGAGCACATTGTAAACCTCATGTTCGGCACTGTTGTTTTCGGTGGAGGACACGGGGTTCGATCTAGAATCTAGAAGACTGTTTTTCTTTTTTTCGGGCACTGTCCTCTCAGGACAACAACACATGAAGACATTGGCTATCATTGGTTTCTATATTTCGAGTTTGGAGTCTCCTGACAACCAACAAATGGGCTCGTGGTGCTGTTGGTGTGCTGAAAGTTTGTGCAAAGGCACGGAAGTTTTGTAGTACAAGACCGCAAATTGTGCTTGGGTTCATGTGAAGGACATGTTTTTACAAGGGTCCTATTTTGATCTAAGGGTGGTAGGGCGCTCAATTTAAACTCATCAGTTTTGATCACCCTTCTTCTTCATTTTACTGCATTGTTTTTTTTTCTTGGGGGGGCAGGGACCTCTAAACTCTTAGTTATAGTTAGAATTGTTGCCACACCCACAAGTGTTCAATTTAAGTTGCCTGTTTAAACATCCAGTCTTTTGACCCCTGGGAATTTGCAGCGTTGCGCTTGAACCATAGCGTGTGTTGGGGAGGTGGCGCATCTCTCTCTCTCTATATATATATATGTCTATAAATGTGTGGATTGTGTGGGTCTATTTCTATAATTTTCTATACACAAATTATATATATATATAGTAATGACACAAACATATAGTAACCACACCTCGAACCTGCCGGTGGCATCGACGTTTTTACGACCCAGGCGGCATGGAGGACTACGTCCACCGGATCGGCCGCACCGGCCGTGCGGGGCGCCGCGGACACGCCGCAGCTGGGCGGACTCCCACGGGGGGGGGGGGGGGGGGGGTGTGGGGGGGGGGGGGGCGACTATGTTTCAAATCAACCACTTTTTCCCCGTGATCAGATGATCACCTATGCTGAATCCTTGTGCGCTTTCCCTTTTGGTGTTCGACTTGCGGGATTCAAAGTTCGTCCTAAACTTGTGTGTGGTCAAATTGTGATTGATTCTCTTCACAATTGTTTCTTGCGGCATGGTCGGTCGGGGAATCAGACATTACCTCGACACATTACACTGCCAAGGGAATATCCACCCTCGACTCAATCTCATGTGCTGATGTTCCACCGTGTAAACCCGAAGACACGGTTCGCATGCTACTGCGCCTGAAGGCTCAGATCCAAGCTCGCAAGCGTTCGGTTTCACACTAGCTAGGTTTTTGTGGCACGTTGTTCTGGTTTGCGGTGGTCCCTGCTTCTCATTTCCCACTATCTCTTTTCATGCCACTTGCTCAGAGTCACGCCACCTGTGCTGGGCTCGGTTCACAATGGACGAGGTTTCAGGGGGGGGGGCGACTTGCTCTCTCTAGCTACTAGTAGCATTCTTGCTCCTACTAGCGTTGCCAGGAGCCCCTAGTAGCGTCCTTGCTCCTAGTAGTAAGGCCAGGAGCCCCTAGTAGCTTTTTGTTCCTCTCTAATCTCTTTAGACCAAGGTCTTAGTCCTCTTTGGGATAGTCAGGAACCGATGAGTAAGTTGTCGCTACTGTCAGCTCATAGAAAAACCAGGGGCTACCAATCAGCCCCTTTCACTGAAAGCACCTGAGATGTTGGCCGCTAGCAACTCGAGCGCGTTTCTGCGTGGAGCATGCATGCTTCCATCGTCAGGTCACCTTCTTCCCGGCGCCCGAGGATGTTTCCGGCACTCGCTCCGCAGGCGTGGAGCCGAAGAACGCATCGGCGTGGAGACTCTGGATGTTTTATTTATTGTTTTTTTGGGGGGGACTTGATGGGACTTGGGGAGGGTGCTCTTGGTGCGTTGTTTGGTTTGTTGCTTGGGTGCGGGTGTTGGAATCACAAGTATTTTGTGTTCGTTGTTTTTTTGGTATTGAGCTTGTGCATTAACTGCAGAACAGATCATAATGTGCGCTTCAGATTGTGAAGGACATGATTTGAGGGCCACTTCTGCAAGGAGAGACTTTGGCAAGCCTTAGTGCCTAGACATTTCCCACATGTCACAAGGTGGACTTGGTCTTAGAGGAACCGTGAAACGTAGGGGGTGTTGCGGGACCATATTTCAAGGCTCAGGTGCCGAGCTCGCCAGGCAATGCCCACGAACTGATTCAACTCCTGCGCTCTGCCGGACAAGACGTGCCTGAGGAGCTACAGGCGCCACTCAGCTGAGATGCAAGTGTCGAGGCGTCGAGGCATTTGTGGTGCCAAGCCGAAAATTCGCCAGGCTATATATGGGGGCGATGTATGGAAGGTTTCAGTCACATCGACTTATTGGTGCAGAAGGCTTGCACAAATGGACACTGAACGGTGGCGAATCAGCATCCCTTGACAACCATTGGCTTCAGGATGCGGTGTTTTTAACTGGTACATTCAATCACAAGTCACTACTTCCATGGACATGCGATAAGGACACCAGCACATACATATGCAATATATATATATACACATACACACATGCATACATGCATACGGACACCAGGAACACTACCTTCTCAAAGTTGGAAGGAGACAATAGTCACAGTGATTTGCGGTTTGAAAACTGGTGCAGAACTTCCTCCAATCTGAGCTGAAAGGTTATTTTTATATATACACACTATCACATGTTCAGCTGGCTCCGTGAAAATGACCAGCTGCCACACTTCGGGGTCTTTGGCTTCGACGAGGTCGCTGTTTCAGCCGAGGTTGGACAATGGGCCGGTCATTTCCAGTGTGGCGGCACGATCTGGAAAGCTCTTTGACAGCGGTGAATCCAGCTGAGGGGTTGTCAAGAAAGATGGATGGGCGAATAATTAGTTGTGGAGACGAATAGAAGATGAACATCTAGACAAATTGAGAACACAAACAGCAGACACATGTTAGAGCATGTTGAATTCATTTGTTTGATGATCAATCACTAACAATGGCTGATGGCTGCAGAAAACAAACACGACATGAGGGCAACCCCGGTCATCCCCGGTCTGGTTCTAGGTGGGGACTATGCCTCTATTTGTTGGAGAAGCCGTCGGTTTCGATGATCCTTACGGTTCAGTTATGGGCGGAATATCACGGCCAAAGCTAACGAATCAGAGTGCCGTGCCTCCTGTTGCAGAAATCCTGCACCGAGATGAGAGCGTCCCATAGTCTCACGATGTTTCAGGAATTGGGCCGGGCGGGCAAATCGGGAGCAACCAGACCAGAAGAGATGCAGCCCTCGTCGGGGTGGACACGCAAGAGTAAGATGATGTTGCTAATGAATAGTCAGAACCAAATAGATGTTGTTGGTGATTGATGAAGCTAAGCGGGTTCTTCCTTGATTCACTTCCCGATTTGGCGCTGGATACAAGGCTGTACAAGGCTACCATCAGAGATGTGCCTTCCGCTGAGAATCTCTCAATGGGAGGTGAGGAACAACTCAAAAAAAGTACGGGTGTTTTATATCAACCAGAAGGGAACATCTCTCAATTAAGATATCAAGATGCTTTTTTGGTGAAAAGATGCTCCTAATTTTGGAGTAGAAGAGTCGAGAACTGAAAAGAGAGACCTTTGGGAATCAAGCTGCCTTCACTGGGCCCAAGTAGTTCTTACATTTGGTGTTCTAGGGAGGCCGCATCGTTCTCTGGCAAGGAAAGGTGCGCGGCTCAGAGTGGACGACCAACTTGACCAACATTTGCAGATCAGGAGCTGGGTCAAACCTGAGTCGGTCGTTTTCAGTCTTTTAGTAGCTTGTGGAGTCTCGCTGCTGTAGCAGTTCTTAGGTTCTTTGGACATTTGTAGCGCACATTTGCTTCATGCAGACTGATGTTATTGGACGTTTTTGTTGCATGCATTTGTTTGTTCTCTATGCAGTGTTTGTTGTAGTTTCGCAGCTGGCCATGGCGTGGGGTTGATGAAGACATTGCTTTCTCAGCAGTGTAGCCTCGTTTTTCAGTGCAGCTTGCACGAGCACTAGCTGAGGCAAAGCAAAAGGTAAAGGAAAAGGAAAAGCGTCTGAACAACAGCAGAGAAGCACCTTGACTGGGAGATTGCGCAGGCAATAGGTGCAATGGGTTGTGTCAAGCCAAGAAGTTTTTGGTAGGTTGACTTTAAATTTTCGGAGAGCGCAGGTACAAACAGTCGACTCATGTCCGCCCTGTGGTGGCATTTTCGTTGCGAAAGATTGCGGCAGAAATCCTGCCATCCACTGAGGCAAAGGCGGGATCAGCATCCAGGGTGGCGAAGTGGAGCCGCTGCAAAGTTTTAAGGAGAGGGGCGGAAAGGTGTAGAGTGGTGGTTTTGGGTGATCTCTAGTGGGATCATCCGTGAATTTCGCTGTGGCATTCATTGTTCACGACAGAATTCATCGGTGAAGTTATGATAGGTTGGTTTGTGTTCCCGTGCCTTTGGCTGAAGGATCCTGTTCATATTTATTCGGCATGTGCCACACTTCAGACATTATATACAAAAGTGAAGGTTTTTATGATTCTTTTTTTAATGGTATGTTTCATTGGTACTTGATACTTGATAAAGTTGCCCATGCAATTTCACCATACCATGAATCATGAAATCGCAAGCATCAGGAGCTGCCCTTCAGCAAGGTCCTCCGAAAGAGTTTGCGGAGCTGCGGCTTTCAGAAACCTATGCCCATCCAGGAGAGGTTGGATGATTGTATACACTGTCACTGATATAGACAGGGTGCGGTGCACAAGTCGATATTGTGCAAAAGCAACTCTAACGGACGCTTTTGTTTTGGTACACTGAACAGTGCGGTATAGTTCGGGTTTGCAGTATGCCTTAGTTTCCCCTAGCTTGGGGAAAGCAAGGGACAGAACCACCACGAACCAGAGCTTGGCGGGGTCATCAGAGACTGCAGTATCGTATATACCTCTTCCGAGGGGTTGGAGTTCACGAACCCTAATTGCCACGGGGAATGGCACTTCTTTGCATGCGACGCCCATGCTCAGAACAGATGGGAAGGGCATGTGAGTTGCAATTCACCTCGTTTTGGCAGCGGCTGCAAGCTTTGACATTACTGTAAATATTTGTAGATGTTTTTCCATTTGCCCATTCCCATACAGGAAACATCAGGAAAATATCACCCCGCACAATTGCTGTTGATGCTTGTTGATGAGCAAGTTCCAGCACCACCGTACATAGATAATTATAGGCTCCCTTCAGAAATTATTCATGTCGGACATCGGGCATTTGTCACAGCATGGCCAGAAGATGACGTGTGTACATATATATATATTTATTTATTTATAATATATAACATATATACTATACATATATATTAGGTGTTCTAATCAATCAAGAACTCCTTCTTGATCTACCTATTTTGGGGCGAACAATATTTAGCAAAGGCACAATATGATGTGCTCAAGTTAACATGGACAACTCTGGGCCACATCCGGTGTACCGAACGACCAGTGGCCTGGCACCGGTCTTGAGGCTTATGGCTGGCCCGTGGCCCTCTCGGGTCGCGACTGCATCGGCATCGCCAAGTCACTCGGCCGACAGTGATGCCTTGTGTTACAGGGCGTTGGCTCGGGTGGTTTTACTCGCCACCTGGGAGGAAGCTCCCCAAGCAAGCACTGGCTGCATCTAACTGACCACAAACCCAAGCTTGGCTGAGCAAGTTTGAGGCCGATTTGGAGGTTTGTGGATGAGCTCATGGGCTCAGTCTATGAGAGGTGTGGACCCTGTGATTCCCAGGTTTGATGCAATGGCACTCTTGAGGCCCATCGGGACATCGAACTAAGGACCGGCAGTGGGAAGACTTTAGCCTTCTTGCCTTTTGGCCGGAAAGGGGACTGCTATCTTGACCATCGCACTGCTCGAAACCTATAGGAGGCACCAGGACTTCACGTAGGTATTAGGAGAGCTGGGTTCTCGTCATTCCCACAGGGTGGGGGAGTGTATGTCGATACAGAGCCTGCAACACTGCTGGGGCCGGCAGCAGTTGCCTATGGATCCCATTGGAAAAATTGTCTCCCCAACATTAAAGTATGTCAGTGCTCAAGCTGATGCCAAACTCGAAGGTTTACAGGAATAAAAGGAGTTTGGTAAATATTTGACATGTCATTTCTCCTCATTATTTGACGGATGTCCGCTTCTTGGATGATGTTTTCAACATATTCACGAGGGAACCATGTTGCCGACTAGACGAGAAGTCAGTCAAGCGTCCAGGTTCTACAAAGTCATGTGCCACCGTCGGTCCCTGTCAAGCTTAGTTCTTTTTTTTTTTCTGGCTGGGGGATTTCAGTGTCAGGATGGTGTTCCAGACATTTGCGGATGTTCACTGGTGATGTTTGCAATATGTGCTAGCATGCTACTTGGCTTTAGCCTGCCAAGTAAACTGTTGGCAAACTGTTTTATTGTTTTCAATCACTGGCACATTTGAGCAGTTAGACAAGACGGGCTGACTGAAGAATTGGACCCGTGAGGCAGAGACCACAGGTGTGAGGTCGATTGTTCAAAAACAAGCCACAACAATTGCTGGTACAGATTGAGCTGCACCGAAACCATGTATATATGTATGATCCATATGCACATGGTCACATGGTAGGTTGCAGAAACTCTATGCATGTTCTATACCTTAATGCGCAACAGGATGAACAAACAAGGGAGCCGAGGCATGTTCTCAGCCAAGTCACTTGAGGCTTCCTGCCATGCACAAGATTCAGAGTTGGCTAGATGAGGCTGCTTATGAGCGGTGGTTGAGCCGGTACCTGTGCTGGAAGGTATTTGGGCAGGGGAGGGTCGGAGCTTGTGTTGGAAAAGGGTCTTCATATTCAGGCAATATTCTGAGGGTTTGATTGATTCATGTATACATACATACATACATACACTGTAAATGTGTTGATTGATGCTTGCACCGTAGTTCAAAACAGCACCCTGCGGCCAACAAGCCTCCCCAGCGTTCGCAGGATCCAGGCGAAGGTGGTGGTCCTTTAGCCTTGGTAGCTACTCAGCTGAAAATGATTGGCCCAAAAATGCCACAAGCTGGTGGAACAACGTGATCATTTTAGGTGTCGGTGTCTTTTTCCGCTTTGCTTGGTGTGACAGTATACCATCCACCCTCCTTTGAACTCTAACATTGGAGACTCGGGGGACTGGGTTGACTTGTCGCCCCCCCTGGGTCCACCTCGAGGTGGTTCCCACTCGGGAGTTGGCTGCCCAGATTCACCGCGAGGAGCGGCGGCGCCTTTTGAATGGGAGGCTCAATTGGTGGAACCCCACATGTAGGCTGTTTCTGTTGCTTTTTGGGAGAAGGGCCGGTTAGGGGGGAGGCCTTACATTAGTAGAGCGCGGCTGAATGCTTTTTGGTTTGCCGTAGTCTTTCAAAACACTCCGAACGCTTTTCTTTGTGCGTGCATCCCGGTTCTGTTGGATCTTCGGGTTCTTCTGCCGTCTCGCGGCCAACGTGCCAGGCTGAGCGGTTCTCACCTTCTGGGCAACGCGCCGCACGGCGAAGAAGTGTCCCAAGAACCCTGGAGTGTTGCTGACTGATGTCCATGCAGCTGTCAACAGGGGCAGCAAGCTGCAACTAGACTGGTAGATGAGTAGATGGATGTAGATGGCACGATGGTACCCCAAGATGTCTTAGAAAGATGGGGTCCAAATAAACCATGGAACTTGGGGGCCCTTGTGCCATCTACTCCAAATCCACGATGTCATGTACATGTGAAGTTGAACGCGTTCAACAACAACTAAAAGATGACAACCCATGTTGTTCATCGACCATGTTGAACAACCACGTTGCAGATTGACAAGGTTCTCTACTCAACCAAAATCATTGAACATTTCAGTGACCTCCCAGCCTGTGGGGTGGGGAGGGCGGTTGTTTCGCCCCATGGTGCACTGGTTTTGCAGCAAGGCGTGCTGCGTCTATGGTGGCACCCCATGGGAACCTCAGGCAGCTTCGCTAGAGGCCGGTCCAGTGAGACAGTGTGGGACACACGCGCAAGGCCTGCTTTTGACCAGTAGATGGGGTTTCGCGGGGCACACCTTTGGCCATGTCACGAAAGCTAGCGTCAGCCAGCTGGAGTTACTCTTGCCTTAGCAAGTCATTGTCTGGGGGATGCCTACCCAGTGAATAATTCACGTGTAGACCCCCCCTGCCGTTTGGTTCAGGAATGTGTCGAGCAAGGCATTGGAGAGGACAGTCTACTAGGTCATTTGACTGTAAGTCAAAGCACGGAAACCAGATCCCTTCCATCAAACATGTGCTCTCCGATACTTCTCGCCACATCCTGTTTCCAAGCCAGGCTAGCTTTCGTCACAAACCCCCGGCCTCAAGTACTGTATTGGGACGAGGGCTGGCGAGGTATGCTTGCCCCAGGCTTTTTTTGCCTAGCCAAGATCACCTGAACGATGCAAGACTTCACCACGCCATGATTTGCTGGTCACAGGTCTGAACGGCACTGTTCCGAACATCAGTCCATCGCAGTCCTGAACATCAGTCCTGCCTGTGCATCGACACCCTGTGCCAGAAATTGCTTCACAGCATTGCCATGATTCATGCACCACGATGGTGGAGTTGTTCACCGCCCTACTAATCCCTAGACCGTCAACAGAAAGACATTGGATGGATTTCACTGCCTTTTGCAGCTACTAGAAAGAAAGGGCATCACTACTAGGAGCAAGGACGCTACTGGTAGCTCCTGGCACTACTACTAGTAACAAGAAGCTACGAACGTAACAGATGTTCACATACCCTTGGTGGTCAGGCGGGCGTGGAGCTCCTGGTAGCAACCCCTGGCAGGCCACCTGAGCCTCAGAACTCACATTGGAAATAGAAGACGACTGGAAGACGACATCCTGAGTTTATGAGAGCAGCCGCTGCCCGAAGCAAGCATGCTAGTATTTTGCGTGTGACTGCTAGTTCTCTACAGCAAGAGAATCCAAAGAAGGAATCCTGAGACTCGACTCCACTTCCTTTTTCTTGAACCGTGGAACTGTTTAGATTAATTTATATATATAATTCTATTTAATTATTGTTTCTAATAGCTTCTTGTTCCTAGTAGTAAGGCCAGGAGCCCCTAGTAGCGTCCTTGCTCCTAGTAGCGATGCGAGGAGCCCCTACTAGCGTGCTTGCACCCCTGGTCGACCTGAGTGATTTTTTGGGCCTGCATCCAGGCTTGCCTTCCTCATGGCACGCGGCGGCGAAGCGGCGGCACGCGCAGTTGCTGGGACCGATGGCGCATGCTGTTTTAAACACCGAGGATGGTATAGCCGGCTATGGGCACATAACATGTTGTCACAAAACATGTGCAAGACTGGCATCGAGTGCAGCATGTGGGAGAGTTTTGACCCCAAGTTGCGGAGAGTCCCAGCGCCGGACCCACGCGCTGGGGATGTGATCAGTTGGAAATGAGTTGTAGTGAGTTCAAGGGGCTTATACCTCCAATAGAAAGTGAGGCACTAAGGGGCTTATATCATAGACTCTGACATGACCCATAGAAAGTTCCATGATGTATGTAGCCTTTCTAGCGGGAGAGCGGCGTTACGTTGACCCGGGGAGAAACTAATCCATCACCGAGGGCTGCACTTGCGTCGAATTCGTTCCGATGTGGTGGTGGTGGGTGGTGGGTGGTGGGTGGTGGGTGGTGGGTGGTGGTGGTGGTTATGTCAGTCACGTTGTGCTTCCCCAAGCCTTCACACGAGATGCTTGATCACGGTAGGTTTACTTTGCTACCATTCTCCAGAGGAGACTGTTGAAGTTGAAGGCTGCAGGTTGATTTTTTGTTGTTTATATAGGGGGTACGAAACTTCATTGAAATGAAGCAACAGCTTGTTCAGAGATGTTCAGAGAACATGATTTCAACAAGAAGCATCAGAAAGAAAATAGAAAATCATATGACACAAAATGAAAGTTACCTACCAGGACCACCCTGTTGGGGTGTCCAATATACTACCCTACATTACCCTACGCGACAACTGGGGATCTCCAGCCAGGACACCCACACGGTCGGATGGTCCTGGTGCATGAAGATCCTGTCACCAAATGAAAGCAACACTTCCCTTTTCTACCCCCTACTTCAATCAACAGGCTGAGCAAGAATACTTGGTCACCCCGGTCCAATTCCATAGCCCAACACAATCCACCGTATAATACTATACCCTCGCCACATGTAACACGGGTTTCACAAACAGATACATGTCGAGCCATCGGATTTCGGACACCTCCGCACCGGAGGCGCGTGAGATCGCCGCGTGCGGCTCCCGTGCCTTGGAGGGGTAGAACACCGGTGCAGAATGCACGGTTCAGGCATTGGGACCCATGGATTTGTGGAACGTTTGTGGAAAACAGAACGAAAAACACACACCGTGTGTGGATGTGAGACATGTTTTGCATAGGGAAAACACATGAAAACACCCTGGCCCTGGCTGGGTCGACGGTCGAGTGGTTGATTTTCCGAACGTTTCAGGATGTTCCAAGGGTGTTTTGGTCTTTGGGAGGTCTCCCTATTTTAATGCACACCCACATCTGGAATCTCAAAAGCAATGATGATGGTTGCAGAAGGTCCAGCTAGTGGGATTGTGTTTGGGTGGTGGAAATCTATCACCCACCCATCATCTCAAAGTCAGTTAAGACATGTTAAGACCTGGAAATCCTAAAATCAGTTAAGACCTGGAAACCTGGTATCACGTGCACGTTTCTTCTCATGGGAGGATCCTGAATCGGCCGCGTCAGCGGCCCGGAGGGTCCTGGGAGAAATAACTTCCAACAACACTATATTATATGATTGGAAACATGTTTAAATCTCGCTCACTTAGTAAGAAAGCAGTGTGTTCCCAACTCCTGGTGGTTGGAGGTGCACGACCAAGACACTACTCTTTTGAGAGGGATGAGAGCAGCTTTTGAACCTTCAGTTGCAGCAAGGTTCAGAGAGGGGTGTCGTTCTTTGTTTGAGTTTATTTGTTTATTTTTGTGTTACTGGTAGCTTCATGTTACTAGTAGTAATGCACTTGTTCCTAGTAGCGATGCCCTTGTTACTAGTAGCATTCCCCCATTCCACCCCCTGGTTTCAGGGTCACTCTCCGGACATCGCTGCCTTCAGGTAAACAGCTCACCGAAGCTGTCGCTGTCTTCGAGCGCTTCACGGCGACGGGCGGCCGGGCGACACGCCACATCCTTTCCACCTTGCTGATGCTTTGCTGTTAAACTGTTAAATTTTGAAATTGGAATGTGTTGGGCCCTTTTCACACGGTGAAGTCCGGATTTACTCCACGGACCTATGTCAGCTTTCGTAGCATTTGCATAGCCTGGTGGAGAGCTGAGTAGTTGATGGTTTTAGCTTTAGGTAAGTCATTGTGCAAAGCTTACTTGGGAATAAACCCTTCGCCCATGCTTGTTCATCCAACATCTGAGGAATGTGCACGTGCTTTGTGGGGATTTGCCTGGCGCTTTGGGAGCCCGGAGCCCTGGGAAGTCTGTAGACTAGACGTGTGAGTCATCGACTTTGCCCGAAAAAAAATGTCTTTAACTTATCACAAGTCTTATCATGTAGCGCTTTTTGAACTTTATATAGTGCTGGATCAAGTAGCTATCCTGATATGGCCTGGGCACGCCTGGGTTTGGCGATTCCAGCCTGAGGTGTCTCAGAAAATGCAAGACAGCAACCTGCAGCTGGGAGTTGTGGAGCCATTGGCTTGCATTGGTCCAGAGGAGGTTCTTAGGAAGCAACAAAATACAACACTTTCGACAAAGGGGGCGATGCCCGAAAGGCATCGCACGCCGATATGCTGGAGTACTCTCTTACCATGTTGAACCCTTTCCCGATATGAAATGTTCATGAGTGTTCTGAGTGTTCACTATCGATGCAAAAGCCCGAAACAAACGACAGCTGCATGGCCGCCCCTTCACTTCCAAAAAGACCCCAGCAAGAACGTCAGGATACGTCAGGATCCCACAGACCAACGTCACTGACCGTGGACCTTCGCTTTGTCTCACCTCCGACCGGTCGCTCGAGGTATACGACTCTCTTGAAGGGTCACTTGGCCTACGGTGATCTGGCGGCGGCCTGGCGCCTCCTCGAAGAGATGGAGGAGCGGCTGACGGGTGAGCTTCCGCGAGTTCTCTGACAAAAGGGGCTGACAATGGTCCTTTGTATCAAAAGCACTTCGACCTCAAAAGTAATCAAAAGCTCAAAACCCAAGTCTTGTGTATATATATATATATACATAGAGATTCTTGTAGGTTCTCAAGCTCAAAACCCTAGTTGCCTGGCTGGTCTCATGCGGGCCGTCCTCCGTTTCGCCAGGCTGCTCAGCGAGCCCCCGACCTTCGCACATTGAACACCTTCCTCCGGGGCTGTGTGGCTTCGGCAAAACGGTGGGCAACGGTGAGATTCAGAAGAAATTATATGCAAGGCACGTGGCTACTGTGATAGAAGGATGTACTACAATAACTATCAATAACTTAATAAACATTATTGCGTGTTCATGGATTTTGTGGCATTTGGACCGGTGCCTTTGTCTCCCATGGCCTGAGCCACCGAGACATGACGAAACATTGGTGCGGCCGCAGCACGAAACGGAACCGGCGCGGCGCGGAGCGCATGTCGCACATCGAGTGTCCCCAGTCAAAGGAGCACAGAAACTGGCAGGACAGGACCGGACTTGATTTTTGTCGCATGTTTAGGACACATTGGGAAACCATCCACGTTTCTTGTAGATTAGCACACATTCTCCACAAAGAGAGGGTTTCGGAGTAGGTCGCACATTTTGTGCTACACCGCTACACCCATGTCGTGGGAAGATAGACACACCCCAAAAAGGGAAGATCAAGAGATAGACCCCAGGTAGATCAAGATGGTCTCCACATTTGGAGCATTTGGAGGTCGGGTGGCTTTGACGCCTCCGCTGTGGTTTGCCGTTGCAAGGTGAAACTTGGCGCTCTGGCTGACGCCGAGGCAGCTGGGAGCTGGTGAAGCTGAGCTGAAGCCCAAGTCAACAGCGACCCGCATGAGGTCAATGAGGGCCAGGTGTTCAGTTTTCAGCAAAGAAAGGCCGATAGGAAGTGGGAAGCCAGTGGTCCGCATGCGGCATGCACACATGTTTTTCATTCAAGATAACAACAATCTACGCGTGGTGCCTCTGCCAGGCCGTCTATGCCAAGGCATCCCAGTGGCGTTTGGAAGCGGATGGTGCAACCTACAAGCACCCTGGTCGCCCTGATTCAATCACTGCGGGACCCCACTTATCTCATGACTGGGCTCCATCGTCAAGCAGGTGAGTTGTACAGCTGTCGCGAGCACCGTGGGGTCCTCAGGATCTTGGCACAAGTCTACAGCCAGCGGCTCAAGCTGAATCTTGGCTGCTGAAAATAGAACCATTGGAAGCCCCAAGCATTGTGCCGAGATGAAGCTTGGGAGAACAAGTGAATGTTGAAGCATTAATTCTTTCGGGGGTTTGGATGAAATGTAGCAGCCATACTCAGCAGTTGAGGAAAGCTTTGATGAAATTGCTGAGCCTTGGTTGCAGATGGGTGTTGGAATGTTGAGACGTGCAGTTGTCGTGGAAGACTTTGTTACCCAGCCCATACTGCATTTTGCATGACAGGTTGTTTTCAATTGCAGTAGCATTGAGATGCCATGAAAGCATTGACTGCTTGCATTGACTGCCATGAAAGCTCAGTGTACTCATGGCTTAGAACAAGCAACGTAGCATAGAGGGTTAGACAAAAGAGCCGCATTGCATTCTTTGCACGGACAGAAGCAGTTCGTTTAGGGTTTTTTGGTGTGGCTGGAGCTGTTTGCCCTTGGCCTCGCCGCAGGAAAGATGGAGAAGGTACTGAGGCTTTGGGGCAGTTGCTTGGTACAAACTGTACGACCAATGTGTGTGTGTGGGCGGCACTTCATGCACAGCTTCAGGACAAGAACCCCTTGTCATGTCCTCAATTCAGCATTCTGGTGCCGGCTTTTTCAATGAAAGCTTCCTTGCTGTTGGTATGCTCAAATGCCGAGCTACGACATTCCTTTCATTTGAGTGAGAGGGTGCAGTGCAATCTCAACCTTTGGGCAACATCTCAGCAGCTTCACTTGCACGCCAAAACACAGTTGCAACATGTTGCAACATGGGGCTGCCATGGTTCATAGAGCCTAAGAGAGGAACTCAATGGAATTCTGTATTGGTCGGAAGTCAGGTTTTTTGGAGCTGCATTTATCTTTGCAGTGACCCCCCATTGATATCCATCATTTGGGTGACCTGCCAATGCCCCCTGTCAGCACGTTTCAGCCCTTCTGTTTGTTTCTCCCCCACGTGAGGTCCTCCAGGTGTTACAAAATCCTTCGGTACTCACCCTCCTGGTGTACCGCTGCGTGGGGGGGGAAGGGGAAAAGAAACAGACGGAGCCGCAACGTCGTCCGGACCAAGATCTCAGCACTCGAGGTTGGAGAATGCGGCTGGGTTCCTTGGCTTGCTCTTGCAGGAAGACCAATCAATACGGGGGCCTATAGGATCAGAAACCAACCCCTTGGGAGGCCATATTTTGACTACTGGATAGTACATGAATAGTAGATGCATTCAGGATGATTTATAAGATAGTGGCTTGGGTGTTTCGGGTGCCCCCTTCAATTTTTGCACTGGAATTGTTTAGCGAGAAGAAATCCTCTCCTGGAGCTGGACCATCTCCAGATCATCGCGCGGGCATGGTGCCCACTGAGGCTCAACGTTTCAATTGGTCAAGTGGCCTGCCTGCTGGGTCAAAGAAAGGCAACAAACTGCGTCGAGAGGTGTGTTGGTGGTTGGTTGGATGAGCCAGTCTCATGCGTGCCAAGGGTGTGGATGTAACAGACGTTGCCCCTGACATTGCCTGCTTTGGGATGGATGGATGGATGGATTTGGCAAAGTGTGTAGGAGAGATTTGGTCACAGCCTGGAATCTCGAAGTCGACAGACTGTGCTTAGTACACCTTAGTTATATACATCCTTTGGGCTCCGGCTGGCAAAATGGAAGACGGACAGGGATAGGGAAGGAAGGGTTTTGCGGTCGTTTCCACAAAATCCTCGTGCAGATTAATCGGACCCACAGGTTCAATGACCCAAAGACGAGGAGAAGGCTTGAAGCTTAGAGACACGTGGAGCTTAGAGATGAATGTCTCACGCGTTTGTCTATCATGTGTCAACCGTAATGTGACCAGATTGGGGACCGCAGATGCCCACGAAAACTGTGTGCAACATACCAAGACAATCCAGGAAGTCTCCAATGGACTACCCTTCATTGCCTGATCTTCACGGGACGCCCCTCAAGAAAAACAATGGTCCTGGTAGTGGTCCTGTATGCCTGTATGCTTTTTGTTTCTTCCTTCTCCAGACTCCAGACTTGATACACTTGTGGCTCGTGAAATGTTGTGCTTTTATGGGAGCTCCAGCTGTGCAGGTGGCCTTGAAAGGGATCACCCGGGCCGAGGAGGCATTGGCTGCTGCGTGCCGTGGACGAGAGCTGGAACTGGGGGAAATAGGTGTGCAAAGTTCTCAAAAGCTATGTGCTTATGAAATCTCATGAATTCTTACTTAGGTCGCACAAGTCTGTTTTTTTTTACATATGCTACTTGCAGGGAGCTGTATTTAATGTGGGGCGAGGGATGATGGGACTAATATGGACTAATGATGTAGCATAGGAATGATAGGGCTGCTTGTGTGCTTTCGTCAGATCAACTGTACAGACCGTTGAACAGCTAGCTATAATTTTACCAATTTTACCATGCACATAGCAAGCATTTCAATTGTATGTTGTTTTTTGCCATTGACCACCTGAGCATGGGCAAGTAACTGCTGCATAGTGATTTCTAGGTGTTCAGCTTGCAGCTGTGGCTGTTTGTTTTTGGTTGGTACAGTCCGGTGGCAGATCAGAAACATTCATACAGGACTCATCAGTTCCGTGGCTCCCCAGGATTTGTTTCGTCGCTCTTGGCTCAGTGGCAGCACGGAACCCCTTGTGCCGCCCCTCTTGCGCTTCGCTTCACTGCGGAGCAGTTCATGCGGCTTTCGCCGGTCGCGTTTTAGGACACCGAAGCTTGGCTTGGCATGGTAAACGCTTGAAGTCGATAAGCATTCTCAGACTGCATGATGCATTCCAGTCTCTCGACTCTCAATAATTGTTGATTTGCACTGCATTCTTTTGATGTTAGGCAGCAGCGTCATGGAAAGGATCTGAGTTGATTAAGGGACGCTCCAGTTCACGACAAACAATTAATAGGAATGGTATGGAATGGTGCTGCGGCGGAGACGCCATGGGAATGGTTTGGGCTGGGAGTCACGAAGAGCTCAAATGGTTCGAGTTCTGGTGTAATAGGCTCACCTCGCTGAGGAATAATTTTGGAGCATCACTTTCGATGAAGTCCTTTGTGATATGGATGTCTATTGCCTACTTGGCAGACGCCAAAGAAATCCAGGCGCCCTGCAGGGACGTAGGAAAGATCAACCGTGCGAATGGCGGGTGGAGAAAGGCTCGAAGCAAGTGGCCCGCAGTGTCTCAAAATTGGAGCCTCATGTCAACATGAAGGATCGATGAAAGACCTCGATATTGACTAGTCATGTTGCATCATGATTCATTGCGTTTTGAAAGCCAACAACAGCTTCGCTGTCCATAAAGAATTCCTCCCTGAGTTCATTAACGTGGTCCGCAGTCTAGATCCAGGCTCCACTGGAGTGAGATCGAATCTTACCAAGCCCAGATGGGCCCTAGTTTCGTAGCTCCAGCCCTGCTAGCCTGGTAGCTGACAATCTCCAGCCAAGGTACGTGGCAGGATTATGTTTCCAAGCTATGCACATGTCAAGATTGGAGCATTTCTGTTCACAGCCATTCGTTGGCGATTGAAGGCACCCGCTTCCGTGCTCTTCGTGGACGACGCTGCCATGGACTCAGAGGACAGTTGGGCAAGGGAGGGCAAGGGTTATTGTGACTTTGAGGGCAGACCTTGAAAGGAACAATGGGGTTAACAGCTCACCTCAGCTGGGGGCACTGCTCGATATCGCACGGCAGCTTACTGTTGCTCGAGCTTTCCCAAGGATCCTAAGCGGCAGGGGAGACAAGCTTTCATGGGAAGCCTGATGGTCTCAGATGCATTTCAATTCTTTCGGCGCAAATCTGGAGGATGTAAGTCCTGCCCAAAAGCTTCTCCAGGTGATTTTCGGGTCAAAACATTCCAAGGCCCGGGATTCCTGGAGAAGCCACTCCAAGGCCCGGGATTCCTGGAGACGCCACTGTCAAACCTGTGGTTCGACGTAGTTGTTCGACGACTGTCATGAAGCGACATGCACCCCCGACCCCAGGGACTCGAAACAAGTACAGAAACTCATCACGCAAGTGAAGAGTCCTGAACATGGAAGTAGTGGAGTAGATGGCACAATCGCCAAAAGGTGGTTTAAATGGACCCCATCTAAAAGACATTTTGGGGGTTGTGCCATCTACTATCATCTACTCTGACTCTGAAACCAATACTTGTTTACCTTCCAAGTTGTGTTGGCCATTAGTTTGCATCCCCTCAACTCGACCATTCCTTGTCTTTCCGTGTCCTGACCGAGCTCGTCCTTGGCCGCAGGAGATTCAGTGTGCCACCGCCTTGCTTCAGAGCAGCAAGGGCCACCGCCCAGCCTCCACCTCGGGTGGTTGGGAGGTCGGAAGTGAAGTGCAGGAGCTTGCTTTTTCTTCAAGTGGAAATAGGTGGATTTCCCTAACCAGAAGGTGTATGGTTTTGGAATGATTCTGATACTTTTCATAGCAAACAGAGTTGTCCCAGTCGTGTGGCTTTCCGGTCGCTCTCGCAACGGCTTGGCAGGCGGCTTGGCGAAGCTTCCGCCAGACCGTTGAGAGTCGCGAAACAAGCGTTGAAGAGACTTGGTCGAGCGGGGGGGAAAGGTTCGATGGCGAAACCGCAAGTTCCGGACTCCCCACTTCAGGTCACTTCCGGGGCCGGTGAACACCCAAACTGGAGAGTTTTAGACCAGCGTCCCGCTTGGGAAGGTTTCGGGTACCAGTGGGTGTTCCAACGGAAGGTATTGAAGATTACTTCCTCAAGCGCGCCCAAACGCCAAGGAGAGCGTGAACGTGCTGAGATCAAAGCTGCCTTCCCTTCAAGAGGACGGCGACAGATGACATAGGCAGTATGGTTGGGTCTTGTGGAGGTTCGTTTTAATGCTGTTGGCCTCGACGCCAATGGGGGCGAAAGAGGGACCTTTTTACAGAATCGAAGAGGACTGAGCTTTCATTTGGTGTAATCTACTGTTGTTTTTGATAGTTTCAGCCATGATGCCTTAATCCTGATTTTGGCCTGCAGTGTTTCTTTGGCCACCCAGGTTGTGGTATGAGTGGAAGCCGAGGGCATGGGGATGTGGATGAACATCCAGGTGGTTCGGACAGCACGTGATCACATCGAACGGCCGTTCTTGTTGGCTTCCTGGTTTCGACTTATCCACAACCAATCGGTTGTCCAAACTATATATATATCGTATATTTCCATATATCGATCTGCAACTTCAAGCTTTTGAAAAATTTTGAACATGTTTAACCACAAAATCGGATCTCGCACGGTCTTTATATGTCTTTATTGGTGGCCGCAGGACCCAGGGCTGAGGGATCTTGTGCACCAACATTTTGAGAGCTTCGCGCTGTGTGATGCCCAGCTGAAGTCCAGTTTGGATGCTGGGAAGCAGCTCAACACCACCTACCAGCAGTGGAAGGAGGTTCAGGACACATGCAGCTTGTTGGAAAAAAGAGTCCTTGAGAGCAGTTCCCAGATCCACCCTTTTGTGTGGGTTTCAGATGGTTTCAGTGCCAGAAGCTGCCGGTTTGGTAGATGGCTCTTACGAGGCAATTGGTTTGTGTCCTCAGCCTGATGCACTCGGCCGATGTGCCCTGCGTCTGAGGTTCAAGCCAGGAGAAGCAGCTGGCCTCTGAAGTGGCTGCCTGCAGGGATCTGCCATGTCGGGAGGCTTCACACCAGAGGCTGCACGAGAAGAGGGCGGCTAGGCTGAAAAGGAAAGAAGGAAGGAAGGGTGTTCATGGCAGATAGTTTGGGTTGGCGTTATCGTTGGATCTTCCAAGGATCACAGGCACTGTGAACATGGCAAGTTGATGCAAGTTGTATTTGCACCTTGGAAAACACTGCATTTCCCCACCCTGAAAAAGGCTTTTTTTATTTTGCAGCATTTTGTTTGAAACTACCCTGCAATGGCATAATGGCATCCAAAGTGAAACGTTGCTATCATTCACATGCATGGGAACAAGCGGCTCGATGTTGTACAGTCTTGGATGCCGAAATGTTTCTAAGCAAGATGTTGGAAAAATTATTAAAGAATACAGTAAAGATGTGAAGTTTAGCTTCAATGGTGGAGTGCATGGGACAAACCCATATGTGATCTCTTGGAATCCGGAGATGTTCGCCACATTGCTTGTGGGTGGATAAGGGATACCTAAACTCCCATGTCCCATCGGGACATTCTCTTCGAACCGTGGACTGAGGCCGAGTGCTCCTCCATTGGCCACGCAGCCAAAGCCGCCCGATGCCTCCGAAGCGACAAAGGCGGCATTTGTGAAGCCTACCAGACATGCCGCAAGAGTATGTAAATGGGCAGCATTATGCAAGTGTCGACTCAGGTGGAAAAACTTGTCCACGTTTGGATTTGGATCATGATTTATAAATCTATACTTTGTACGTCAAATTCCTGTTGTGTTGGTGGTTGCCACGCTGAAACCTAACATGGAACCTGAAAACCACGGGTTTGTAGAGGAACACAGTGTTTGAGGGTGCCAATCTCAGAGTCCATGTTAGTTACACCAAGGAAGGGAAGAAGGACAAACTATATATAAAAAGGAACAGTTTTGTGAATAAACGGCACGCGCCTTTACGACCCCAAAACAACTCTATGGGTCTATAAAAAAATTTGCACAGCAGCCATTCTTGTTGTCCCGTACAGCTTTGCATTTCAGGATGCAACATTAGTGAACATAGGGGAGTCCAAGTGCTACAATTTGCAATGATATGACATCCCAGCCCCTTTTTGTCAGGGTGGAAAGACAATATTCTTGTAAGAAGGCTCGCGGCTTGTCACTAGAGAAAGAACATGTCATGTTGCGATCAAATCCACAAGCAACATCTTCTTAGAACATGTCTCTAAGGAGCAATGTTGGTGTCACAAGCACCCCTCCATTTATTTGTTCCGACAGTATGTTTGATTGTCAGTGAGCAGAGCAACAGACTACAGAGAGATTGACACCAGATGCAACGTGGGGCGTTGTTTGATGTTTCTTGACCTCGGGTTGACCGGGTGGAGGGAGAAGATGTCTCAGGTCCTTGGCTTTCTCACGAGCAGCTGAAGCCCTCCGCCACTCCTTTCCGAAGAAAGGCCTCACGACGGCTCGATGGGCCCTTGAAGCTGTTCGATGTTTGGAAGCTCAGACGGCTCGTCTCGGAGCAGAACTGGCC